TTGTCAGTGATTTGTAATACGGTTACCTATACTCTTCTTAAGCGTATGTTTTACGGTTAAACCCGCAATTTTTGTTTGTACTCGGTAGTCAAAGCTGATGCATACACACAGGCACAGATGCGCATGCAGACAAAAATTTATACGAATTTGTCATTTTTCATAAACCATATGTTTCGTATAAATTGATCTTTAGCATCTTTGTATGGACAAATACAGATACCTTAATAAGTACATGCCACAGGAGAGCAGAATGCCGATCGCATTGTTGATCCCAAATCTTACGGGACCGCCGTGCCACTGTTCGTCAGGCATTCCAATTTGCTGCGCTAAAATAACACCGTTTGATATCGTTGGCATCACGTCAGAAATGTACGGCAAGTTGGCAACACCGCATATCTGTGCCTGGACCAGCTGAAACGCTAATCAACCAGGCACGACGAAATTTTGTCAACGGAAGACCATTTTGAACGGGCTCGTTATTAGCTAGGTCTTATCAAAAGCACAAGAAAATCATACAAAAACTTGAATAATTGTAATCACTTGGTGTAAATCTCCGCAAGCGTATTTGACACGTATCTTGTGTATTGGCTTCCCCCGATCAAAATATTACATTAGTTATTTTTTTTTATAAAAGACAATCGACTTTTTCAATACGAAATTCTGAAAACCGGTGCTCGTAAAGTGAAACTAAGTTTCAACCAGAAAAAGATCAGGTTGATGGGAATCAAAAATCGATCCATCCCAAGAAGCCGTCAACAGACGGGGTAACATGGTGTTGCTGGAGGATTTACAGCTGAGCAGCTGTATGACTCTCCAGCAAGACCACGTCTCCGCGCCCACGGCATGGCAGGTTCCGCGCCACTACACCACAAAACTCCTGATTTTCTTCAACACGCACCCGACGATGCAAATGGTCAGCCTGCATAAGCACTACATGTTAAGCAGTCAAAAGCAAAAGATTGTGACATTCTCTTTCGTGGTTTCCGCTAGAATTACCTGCGGGAAGAGCGTGCACATATGCGACATTTGATGAGAATATCGCCTGAAACAGTGACATTTATGAGCAGAACATGGCCGGTTATCGAGGATGAACTGCGACAATATCGACATGTTAAAAGGCGCATTGCCGTTTACACTTTACAGTGTGTCGGGATATTTTGCTATCGCTTGTTTGAAATAGCTTTTTTTGCGGGCACAAGGTTTGCTACCGGTTACTACATGCGGGACCTATTTCACCCGTTGCGCCACAAACCGCACAAGGTATCCCCGTGGATGGTATGGCTACAACTATCATGTGCTATTTCTGTGCACCGCGATTCTGCGATATGATGCTAATTGTTTTTTTATACATATGTATACTTCATATGCCAGCGCGGCAGCGCCGATGCACACTAATTAAAGTGACTGAAGTTTAAACACTGGAGAAACAACCAAAATTGTTGGTTGTAATCTTGGGATGCGTATTCCGTGCTCTAAAATGCATTGTGTAGATACGGCTTAAATGCTGGAATTACAAAGTAAACAGCACTGGTACGGAGAGCCTTTGCATTGTGTACTGCATTTTCTCTGTGGCCAAAAAGAGAATCATTAATGCAGAATACCAGTAGCAAAATACCGCGAACAAATGCAATACTTACGTGCTTAATTAAATGAAAGTACACTGTATGATTACGCTAGAACAAGACCGTTTCAGGCCTTTTACACAACTTCTTTATTTAGTCTTTGTAATATCCATCCAGCATATGCACAGCCAACGGACTCAACCTGGCGACGTCCAGTTCCCGCAAATCCGCATCATCCCAATGCAGCGTCCCTGCAGGATCGCTGAACCTGTAAGAACAACTGAATTTTACGCAACCCGCTAATAAACAAGCGACTGTAGTAAAGCGAATGTAAATGCGTTTTATCATAACGTAAGCGTTTTATCATAACGCTATCCGTTCTGGCGGTTTGGACTAGCTTGCTCAGGAGTCATGACCATAGACCAATACGATTAACCGAGGAGATAAACTGTTTCCAAACCTGACTTTCATTTCCTATAAGGGACTGCATAGATAGATTACTTGCGATCTGGTCATACAGCGATCTAGTGTTTCTCGATTCTGGTAATGTTATTCTAGCAGTTTTCGTGACGCACCCAGCGCGCATGCGCCGCCGTGACCTCTTCCAGCAGGCGCTCACCAACAGGCGGGAGGTTTTCATTGCCGGCGGCTAAGAAGCGTCGACAGTGTTCCGCACGGGTTCCCGTGGAGTGGAAGCGCAGAGCGGGAATCACCGCGTCCAGGTGGCCATCACCCTCTCCCCGCGCAGCAGCTGCATCGTGTTCGGGCCACGGTACAATCGGATCCGTATGAAACATGTTAACCCGCGATTCATTGCCGTTCGGATCGGACGTCGTGTAGGTGAGCAGCACTAACTGCTGGCACACCTTTGACGGAATAGAGCAGTACATTAGCAATGTTGCACTTTAACATCTGTACTGGTAAATTTTATAGCCTTATACAGTAAAACCTGTGACTTTGAACACTCGCGTAAATTTAACACTAATGTACATTGAACGGTCATTACGGAACCGGCGCGTCTCGTAGACTATAGCACAGGGGGGACCTCGCGTATATTGAACATCTCTCTAAAGTGAACATTGAACAAATTTGCTGGAACGCATCTATTTATTACTAATATTTTGACCTTTTGAAAATGAACAAAGCGCCGGAATCTGGTTTCAAAAGCAAAAAACACAAGAAAGCGCTTAACGGACCAGAGTTTACTAAACATTCGCTGGTTACAACTTTAACTCCACAAAATTTTTGATTTGTTATGCGCAAAAATAGCGTAAAAAAGGCTTGCTAACGGGGCTGTCATCCTTAAGGCGGCGCCTGTTCGCCCTCAGGGGCAGCTTTAGGGTGCAGAAGCACTGTGTCCAATGGCGGCCCCCCGGGAGGCAGCTGTTCTGTAAATTGAACGGCCGTCTACATTGAACGAAAAATTTGGAACCGCAGGTGTTCAAAGTACGCAGGTTTTACTGTATTTTAACTCGGTTTCTGTTTTTGGTTCGGCAAACCGGATGCGCTTTGTGTTTGCAGTGCTTTCAGGACGCCCTGTTCTCCTGCGGAGTTTCAAAGTGATCGCAGTTGGTAATTAAATTATCGTCGGAAATGAAGATTCTCGCTTCGCGTAGATCGTAAGTTATGCGCATTATTTAGTTATGCCATATTGAGACTGCCAGAGTAGCTATAGTCTGTCGTTTAGTAAGGTAGAATGATTATTACGGTATTTATCGTACTGGATTCTCGATCACCTTCTTCATCAACGAAAACACCGTGGAGCACTGGTAGTTCCCGGTGGCGGAACTCCAGTGGAGACCGAGAAAGGTTACTCCCGGCTGAGGAAACTCCTGTACAGAATCATAGCCGTTCTTGGCGATGAGCAGCGGCAGGCGGATGCCTTTCGCTTCCAGGATGTCTCGGATCAGGAGCTGTTTGATAAAAAAGTCATCCCTGTTATTGTGGTACCGTTTCCATTCAGCGTGACCACCAGTTTGTGTACGCTGAGATAGTTAAAATCGTTGGGCATCATAGCGCCCTTCCATGGTTGTTTGAGGCCGAGTTGGCCGATATCAAAGACGATGATTTTGTGTCGTTTTTGGCCGTGTTCCTGCCTAATGAGCCGCCACAGTTGGCCTGCCGTAGCTGCGATCCAAGGCACAGTCACGGGCAGGGTTAAAAATCCAGTTAATGTTAACTGCATTAGTCAGCAATCTCAGCATCGTGATAAGAAAGGTTAGTGGTTACTATCCGACTGCAGCAGCTAGAAACGTTTTAGGTTGACTATGGAAAGTTCAGTGCTCTTTTGCTTTAATGATTTGAATAAAAATTGCTCGACAGCCTCTGTACCCGCGCGAGTTTAAGGGACAGTAAATTCCCCTGGACCGCCCGCACTAGACGTCGGTTTCTTTGATGTCAAAGAAGCCGACGCCTAGTGCGGGCGGTCCGGGGCAACTTTCTGTCCCTTAAACTCGCGCGGGTGCTTAATGCCGGAATTGGACTGTACGAACATAAAACACCATCACGCCCGGGAGCAGATTACGTAGTGCAGGTTAGTAATAAACTGCATAGTAACATAAAGTGTACAGATAACTAAGTTTTTTTCCTTATTTTTTTCACACTACAGTCGACAACCTTACGCTGGTGGCGGTCGCAAAAGGGCAGTGTCCCATAATAACTAGTAACTACGAGTTTTTCCGAACAATATTAAGTTTGTAGCATAGTTACCGTAACTGCATCGGTACAATAGTCCTACAGTACAATGTAAAGCGTACCGGCTTGCACGATACTGATTTGTCCAGTCCAGACTCTGCAATATACTGTACATACGTATATGACACAATCGGCGGCGACAGATCACCGATGTACATCTCGTCGATATCTGAAAGTTGCAAGCGTATGTTCAGTTATTGACGTGATGATTTAGGCAAGCCGATTCGCTAATTACCGCTTTAACAAATAGGTGACCCTTCCCGAACTTTAAGCCCCGAAGCCCTTCCCACCAATAATGAGCGCGGGAACCCATCCGATAATCATTTGTATGTGTTTTTAATCTGTATAAAAATTTTTTTTTTTAAAAACATTCTCTGAATGTTTCCTGAGAATTTTGGTTTCTCAGTAATAAGTAGAATCGGTCAAAGCTCTGGAACAATACCGGACCATTGAATACAGGATTTGGCAGCATTGCATCGTATGGAGAATACGGAACACATTGCATTACTGCACACCTGTCAAGTTCGGGTTGCATTAATGATTAAACTTTTCCTGCTATCACTATAGAAGCAGCAGTATTACTCAGTATCAGCAGTAAAATTCATCACATTGACATTATCTTATCAGTTCGCGCTATCAGTATCACCGGCGCGGTGTACAGCTCACCGATCGCAAGCACACTCTGCCGCTAAAAGAGTGCAAAACGCAGTACAAAACGAGTGAATGCTAAACTGTACGAAGCCGTGTTCACAGTGTAGTTTGTTCTTTGAACAATGTGCATAGTTGCTTTAAATTTTGGTAACAACAGTACTCATCTTTGCAAAGCTCCGGACACTAGAAAATTGTTACTCCATACACTATGCGTAGTTTCAAATCTCCAAACATGTGACCAGTTAAACGCGATTCAGTGGAAGCCGATTCAGCAAAAATTGCACCGGGTTAAGCGGGAATCAGTTGATATAATCCGGTATTCCGAAAATGGAAGGCACAGGCTTCCGCAATTCCGGTGTTGTCGAAGAAATTGGCAGCAATATACAGTACCGCTACACTAAGGATGACTTTATTGGGAGGGGAGCGTTTGGAATAGTTTACAAAGCCAAAGTCAGAAAAGCACTTTTTCGATTTCGCATTCCGTCCGAGCCAGATTTCTTGGCCGTCAAAGTGATGCATGTCGGAATTAAAACTGGAACTGCTTCCGATCAGGAAAACTGGATGACCGCTGCGCAGAGACTGAGACAACTTCCCGGACTGAAGCACAAACATATCGTACGCTATCATAAGTTTTCCATCACGAATTCTTCCGGCGGAGTGATAGTGGAATTGCCAATGGATTATCATAAAGGTGACAGGGATTATAAGCAGCTTTTGTCGAAGTCACTCTGCTCTTATAATATTTCTCTATTTTTATGCTTATTTTGTCTATATGTTATAATTGTAGGTTATCTTGCGTCGTTTTTAAGGGAAGTTGAAAATTCCTCGACGCTTTTGAAAGGGGGAGAAAGTGGGAACAACTGGGAGAAAGTGTTTCAATTCGCAAATGACATGACCCAGGGACTTCAATTCCTGCATCGAAAGGGCGAGAAACTGGTGATCGGCGATTTAGACGATCTGGTGCAAATGAAAGAAAGCGCCACCTGCTCTGCAGACATTTCCCAGTTACGAGGCACAACGCGCTATAGGTCACCGGAAATGCTGAGGTAATTCTCTCAACAAGAAGCAGAGCGACCAGGACGAAAAACGGATATCTGGAGCCTGGGATGTATCATTCTATCTTCTGGAGATAGCCGAGAGCGTTGCTCGTGTTCCCAAGAAACAGCTTGTAAAGGATGGGAATATCGTCGATGCTGGAAGCGCTCTTGAAAATTACCAGTATGCATGCTTGATAATTGACGGTTACGTTCCTTCTGTGAGCGACGACATTGAAGACAATTTAGCGTGTTTGGATAGAAGGAATTATTACAATTTAGCAATTATTCGACAGTGTTTGGATAGAAGGAGCGCAAATCGTTTATCCACCAGAGAATTACTGCAGAAGCTACCGAGAAAAGACGTCATAGTATTTATTTTGCTCAGGCATTCTCAAAATTTTTGCGTCATGATATTCGATCCGTTGACTAACTCTGTCAATGTTCAAGAGGTGGGGGGCGCACAAAAATTTGAGGGGTATCTGTACCGCGCGTTAGCGGTTACAGGCAACAAAATTGTAATTACGGAAGAGGTACGTCATGGTGACGTCAAAAAGGTGAAACTCCATTTGTGGAATGTCGACGAAGGAACATGGGTTCAACACGAGGCAGTTCCTTCGTTTGATAAACGGCCGTCTGCAGTGATGACTGCGGTAGAGGACAAGGCTTATTTCTTTGACGATACCGGAATCTTTCTAGAAATGAACATTTCTACAGGCGAAAATGCACCTTCAACTCAACCAAAGCATCGGTATGGCCTTTTTGTTGAGGCAGCATACATTGCAGTCTTAGTATCCAACGATTCTAGCTTTTTATACTTTTTCAGCTTTTCGACCTTTTTACAAGCGGTGGCCAAATGCCGTGAGCAGATATTTTATGCTACTGAGAGCCGCCTCTTCCAATATGCATAGATTACCCGAGCTGGGACAAAACTTTTTCTGGTGCGTTAAAGCACGAGTTGTACACATCAGTTGTACACAATCAAACACCTCAAGGTTATACTAGAGCATCTCGATATAGAAAACAATAAACACAAATCACCACCCGGAGCGCAGCGAAGCATCTTAATGTGCTGGTATCGAAGCGTAAACTTTAAAAATATCGCAGCTGAAACCCAGCAACTGTAACCACTGTAACAGCGAAACGCACAAAAGCAATGAAACACGAAAGATGAGACACAAATTTTAAGCTGATAAAAGCCGTTGTGGCTAGATGGATAAACCTTCGGGTTTTGAAAGATAGTCTACATCGAGCGCGGTTTGGACTTAGATGGGTGACCACTCTGAGTTCAGGCTGCGAGTGCACGGCCCGCAAGGCCTGTGTGCGACGTGCTTGGCTGAGGCAGCAATACCACCACGGAGACGGGCACGGGAGATGGAGGATCACAATACCACCCTGGCTACTCAGTAACGGCTTGGACTGAAAGGCCTGTGATGTCCGCAGCACCAATCGTGCCAAATGGAAGGAGACAGGGAGATCAGTCGAAGCAGAGGATTGGCGCCTTCCCTAGAGATGTGCTTGCTGTCTACCTGTTTAGAATTCTCTTAGTCTGGTTCTGTTGAACGTCTTGCTCTGCCCGAGCCGGTTAGCGCCATTGCGTGTTAAATAAAGCTGGCGCTCGCGTTTGCGAGCTGCTGCATACGATCTGTCTGTTGCAGTGTTATAGCCTCCATTGTAACTCTGCGTGAATGAATTACCGTACTTTGCACAAAATGTTCTGTCTGTCACCTGATTAATGCATTGCTGAACATGTAAACCGAGCCGTTTTCGAAACAACTAGCCGCATAAAGCAATCGCAAAGTACCGGCTGTGTTTTTTGGAAAACCAGAAGCATGAAACACGTGTACACCGAACACTGGAAGTCTGAAACTAAACTTGATAACTTCGAAACACTAAAATACATGTACAACGTACACTGAAAGTCTGAAACTGAACTTGATAATTTCGAAACACTGAAACACTGAAAAACATTTACCGTACATATGCTGAAGTGCACACATGAACTTACCCTCCATGCTTCCAACCCCACTGCTTAAAGCCCACAAACTGGTTAATTATCACCTAACTTCCCATACCATTTCCTATGCTCATATTACGTTACATACGTTAACTTTTGTCCCAACTCATGCTCACTCTCCCAATATGACACGGTGATCAAGGAATGGAAGTGCTTACCAGATCGGCAACAACGGCGCGTTCGTTTTGCAATGGCCGTGGTCAGCGGACACATATACATTATGGGCGGAGTGCTTTGGGACGACGCGACGCGTGACTTTACAACAGCTGACTGTATTCGTTTGAGACTGGGTAGCACAACGTGGGAAAAGATTGAACCACTTCATCAGCCCAGATCTTGTCATGCTGCTTGTGTTATCAAGGATCGAATATACATCTGCGACGGTTGGCATTCTGGATACAAGACTGCCGTTACGATAGAGGTTAACGATACCAGAGGCAACGCCGGCTGGTCGACTGTTAATTTGCCGCCGAAGGATAACGAACACTTTGCAGCCTGGCTGGCTGCCTACAATAATTGGTGGGATCCAAATGCAAGGGCAACCACGGTTTCCGTCAATCAGTGTATTGACATCTTTCCAGATATAACCGCTTAAACGGCGTTTAGCATCATGCGTTGTGCATCGACTTGCATATATTAAAGCTTACGAAACTAAGTTTCAATTAATGAAAAGTAAATTCATTTGGTTACTCTAGCTACAGTACCACAGGTTACAAAAAAGAGCTCAAACTGCAACCAATTTAACCGGAAGTAAACTTCGTCCAGCCTTATAATCGGTGTAATCGCATTGGTGGTTGTTTGATTACTCTTGCTGACCAAACGGATACGGGGAACATTTGCTCCCACGCTCTCGATCGCCAGCGCCGTCGTTTTCTCAGTGGAAGTAATTTGTAACAGCCGTCTCCGTGCTTTTGACTGCACGATGCTCGCCAGTTGCCCGTTCGTCATCAGCGCACTCTTCCCAGTACTAGTGTCAGCAGCACTAGCCATCTTCCAGACCGAAACGTTTAGCATTCAAAAATTGTTTCGTTTATCCGGAAAAGTTATGCTACGGTAGTTATCAACCATATTTAAAGTTCACAGCCATAGCGCTCAAGTCACGGACATCAGTCCAAATCGGAGCCGGCCTACATTGCGAGGGCCGTGGCCGGGGCCGTTCTGCAGCTACACACCGGCTGACCCCGGCGGTCCTTACTAAATTTGCCGGTGTCGAAGCAGTAAATGTCGCACATGTCTCGTACACGCGATATTTTTGAATTGCGGTTATTAGCCACAAAATTGTATTATTAACATGTTTCGCGGCAATAATTAATTATTGCTACAGGTTTCTTATTCTACCCAGAATTATATCATTAATAACAACTACGAACTATTTTTGTAATCATATTAACTGAAATCTTTACTATTATTTTTCTATGTTATTTCATTTTTAGTTTTTAATAATCGGCTTCGCGCAGGCAGTTTTGGTTCGGTTTTATAATTATGATGAATTTATTCTGCCATTCAGTTTTAGGACTGAAATTTCTGTCCTACAGTAGAGTTTCAACAGCTATCCCGAAAATTAATACTACTTCTAATAGCAATAATAACAGAAATTAATAGTATAGTAACAACAGGTATAGTAACAGTAATGATAGTAGGTAATTGATAATAATAACAGGCTGTACTACCGTAACTGGCAAATGATAACTGTAATTAAGTACCAGATTTAATAATGCGCCTGGAGTAATCATTAAACTCTGGAAGCACAATAATGAATTAGATCATTTTATTTTTAATTCGGAATTGCTGGACGTTTTTATCAAATCATGGCGTCTACGTGCGCCAGCCGGGCTGGACGGGCGCCGACTGCAGCGCGATTGTGGACAACTGCATGCAAGAAGAAATCCCTGCCTGAACAAAGGCCGGAAGTGCCGTTTAAATACTTCGTATCGCTCATTAACCCTCGTCGTCTTTTGTACCACCAATTATAGTTTGTTTGTTTGTTCTTGTTGTCAGGCGCACCGACTCGCACGAATCCTCCGTAACCGGCTATCTTTATTTGTAAAAAGCACACGGCTTGTACATCAAAAACCACAATCCATACCGGGAGAAAATCAGCGCTCAATTTTTGGTGTCAGAAGGCTCGATGTGGTTTTCAGAGCTCCAGCCAGCCACTGGACAACGACCCTCAATTTGCTAAACCTGTTCATACTCGCAGAACACGGCGAAAATAGACTCGTATTCACTATAACGTGATTCGGTCAATTTATCTTGAACATTCTTCTATTTTTCCAATACTGGTATCTTTCATATAAAACTGAATATGAAATGGTGCCGTTGAGAGAAAACAAAATAGCGGAAGCCGTCGTTGCATTTCTAGTGTTACGATCCCAGTGTGTTGATGCAGATTTGTTCGCATCCGGCGCACTCGTTGACGCCGAAGCAGCGCTTTTCCAGATGCCAGTCAGATCCATCCGCATGCACGGCGCGCCGTAGGAGTCCGCCAAGGTGATGCGCACGAGACAGGCTTGCATCGACGCAAATAGATGCGTGTCGTTCGTCGACTTCAACAACACGCACGTGTAATGCATAAGGTCACTTGATCGTGACTACTCAAAAAGCCGTTGTAAAACTTCCTTCAATATTTTACCTAATAAAATAGCCCAATCAGCGCTTACCGGCAACTACAAACCCAGGACACAACGGAAATAAATACATAATATAAAAGAAAATGGAAATATCCCGTGGTAAATGTTATTGCAAACTTGAAAAGGAATTGCATCAAGGCAACGCATAATAGTATTATCTGCAGCAATTTAACCGACTGTTTTTTTGTCGGTGCGGACTTTCGTGTTAACTGTTGTATGGGAGTTCTTCTGCTGCTGAACATATCTGAATGCTCGGTAGCAAAATGGGACGTTGATGGATATTAATTTTGCACCGTGCTTAGGTATTCTTTTTATATGAACATATGGTTGTGACCTTTTGCCTCACGTGGAATTATGCCAGAGTTTTTTACAACGGATCATAGAATTTTCGCTGGCATTCTCTAATTTGCAAGTGCCTGCGGAAAATTTTATGCCGATAGTGCCGGCGTATGCTGGAGTGAGAGGTCTTCTGCCATATGCTGCTTATGCAAATAAATACGAACGTTCGTGCACGCTCTTGGGTAAAGGTCGTCATTCAACAGGAACCCCACAATTTATTGTATCTATTCAAGGTTATGGAGCCAGCTGCGAAGAATTATTCTTTAAACTTATCTGGAGGATGTCTATTTGTACACTCGAGACGCCTTTTAGTGATATCGTTTTATTAAAATACCATACACAGTACGCACAGCTACTAACACACAATCCGATGCCCGTATGTGCGTACATACCTGGTTAGTACATAGTTGTTGTTACAACACAATCGTACGAGTACTGTATGTACAATCTCACATGCACGCCGAAATTAAAAACCGGTTTTGCTTTCTACGAGGCACACACAAGTACAGTAAGTAGTAGTACATATTATTTTTATCCATGCCATCAGCAAGCTTCTACCGCAGTTATTGAACTACACGCGTAGACAATTAAGTTTTTCCGTGCTTGTAGATACTCAATGAAAACTTCAAGGAGAAGTTGTTATAAATGCCATCATAATCTGGTTTGCTGTGCTCCTGTAAATTATATGTCCTACTTGTAAATGAGAACGAAATACTAAATTCAGATTTACTAGAAACACAAAGCTGACGTGGTCTGACGTGGTCGGATTTTGCTAGGAACTGAGTTTCGTCTGGGAAGCGCCCGGAAACCTGCTGATGAAGCATCTTTAAAAGACGATCTAGACCACCAAAAACAACGGCAAATGCGCTATAATGTCCGGGACGGTATCTCTTTTGGGACGGCGTCGCACAAGGTCACTGCAATGTCCTGTCAAGGATGAAGATCCAGAAACATCGAAGGCTGTGGTTATGATTAGCCAAGCGAACTGGCAGGACGCAAGACGGAGAAAGGCGAGCGGCGCTGAAATATGCCGCCCTAGAAGTAGAATTAAGGTACTACCGATTACCGATCCCAGTTTAATTTCCTTAAAGAATTCGGCATTTATCTACTTATCATTAGTTATTTACTTTGATTCTTAAGGAGAACTTGGCACCGCGTGTTCTTACAATCTTTTAGAAACACTTTAGTTTATGCTTGACATCCATTTCAGAAGATGGACGTAAGTGACTTGCATGCACTTTAATTATTCATCAGTTTGCTGGCCACATATGTACGCGGGATGTGTTTTAAGCTTTAACTCGTGGTGTGTGCACAACCATGCTTTTTAATTTCTTTCCATGAAGAATTTGTTTACTTCTTTTCTTGCTGCAGCAACGGAGCAACCCGCTGTTCCTGGTTTGAGCTCGCCTTTATGGACTTAAAGAACGAAGTGGTGCCAAAATTAATGATGGCGCAACAGAGTTGCGAGATGTCACAAGAAAACAGATTTTAGAAGAAGGTATGCCTTTGCCGAGGAAGCCGAATTCATTTACGTCCTTCAAAGCAAATTAAACATTTAACCGGGGCGCATCTGGTGTTAACCAGCAATGAATACTATAGAGACTCTGGAGGAGGTCACACAAGAGCAAAAGGGAGAACTGCAAAGACTGAGACAAACCCTGGCTGAAATAGAGATCACCGAAGCGTAAGAAAACAAAAACTATCCCGCCTTGTCGCATTCGGAACATGCATGTAACAAAAGCGAACGCTTTTGTCAACACGCTGTTAGGGTTAACCGCTAATGACTGACAGATCTCGTTAAGCTTCAGTACTTCCCGCTTACAATTTCAGAGGTCAAGAAGCAGCTGCAGAAAAGCTGGGCATTCACCCTGGCAAAAGTGGTCAACCAAATCAGGATGAAATTAGATTGCATGTGGTTAGTGAACGCTTGTTGATACAAGGGGCCCGATTAAGTTTTGATTACTGGTAGTTTGAGCGAATGATGGATCAGCTCTTCCAAGCATACTACCTTCACGTGGATGCATCCAGTTTCCAGGCGCTGTCCGATACAACCTACTTGTGGCTCGAAGAACACTGCAGTCCCTCCCGCATCACGGCCTTGACAGCTGGAGTCTTACGTGTTTGTCAGTGATGGTGTTATGTAATGAATACTCTTCATACGCAACTGTTTTACAGTTAAACCCTCAATTTTTGTTTGTACTTGGTAGCCACAACTGATGCATACACACAGGCACAGATGTGCATAGAACTTCCATACAAAATTTGATACGCATTTGTCATTTTTGATAAACCATAAGTTTCATATAAATTGGCCTTTGGCATCCTTGTATGGACAAATACAGATACCTTGGTGATTGCACGCCACAGGAGAGCAGAACGCCGATCGCATTGTGATCCCAAATCTTCTCGGGACCGCCGTGCCACTGCTCGTCAGGAATCCAATTTGCTGCTCGTCAGGAATCCAATCCTAAAATAACACCGTTCGATATCGTTGGCCTCACGTCTGAAATGTACGGTAACACCGCATATCTGCGCCTGGACCAGCTAAAACGTTAATCAACGAGGCTCGACAACGACGAAATCTATTCAACGGAAGGTCATTTTGAACGGGCTTATCATTATAGCTGTTCTTCTAAAACACATGTCAAGAAAAGCATGCAAAAGCCAAACTAAATAACACTTCTTAAAACCCTGCAGCACTACGTCTACCTCGTACAACGTACACCATAGGGAAAAAGCTTAACTTTTATTTCATGACAGCTGCACTCCCGACAACTGTGCCGTCTCCACACAGTTGCATCAACTTATATACCACATCAATATGCATGCCCGCACATCACGCTCATACCGCATACAGCCACAAAGCTATAAAAACACACGCACCAATCTGACCACTGCACATCCGCTCCTGCAGGCCAGATTGGTCCTGCCTTCCTCTCATTCACACTTGAACATTGGTCACAAACACTCATGCATACAAATGCATAACACCATAAAGACATAAATGTCCCGCACAAATATGATCATAAATGATACAGCTCAGACTCGGCACAAACAAGACCATAAAGATACATACAGCCATGCAATCCACGCTATCCAGTGTCCATGGTCGTAAACCTCCACGATCGTAATACACTGAGGATTACGACCGAATCAATACCAAGGAATATTCTGCAGAAAAAGTAAGTGGAAAAAAGGAGGATAGTGAGCGAAGGATACGAAGACCGAACTCGCATCCGACGGGGCTGGAGGCCTGACGGCAAGGCTGAAACGGCGTTCCTGCCGGGACAGGACCACTGCATCTCCTGCGTCCAGCGCGGGGCAGTCGAGGTAGTAGGCGGCGGTCAGGCGGATGGCCGGCCCCAACGGTCAGCTGACCACCTTGATCTGGGCATCTCCGGAAGCCTCGTGGATTCGCCCAGCCCACCGCCCGTGTGAGCGAGAGAATGTACCGCAACCGACGCTTCCGATTGCGATTAGTGCGGCAGATACACCACGGGCTTCGTCAGCAGCAGCCGCTTGTCGCCATAGAACGGCCATAACGCAGCTAACTCGCCCGGGTCAACATTCGTGGATCTTCGGAGGCCGCGCGTTATACTCGCAAATGCCACCTCTCGCACTGGATGTCGGCGCGTAAATAGCTTGCTGCTCCTGCGTTACACAGTGCCGGGTCAACCGGTGTCGATTCAGTGTGGCGCTAGCGCAACTGACATCCCAACGCCGTGTGGATAACCAAGATAACCGCAGACATGCGAGACGACGATGCCTTGCGTTTTGACGTGGCTATCCGCTCGTGCGCTTCTGTTATGCGCAGACGGCGAAGGAGCAGTGCCGAGGCTTCAGCACCGTCGTTTACACAGCTGTCCGACGGTTGCGCCGTGAGGGTGAGAAAAGTTGCGGAGCTTGGCATATCCCGGCCAGCCGGGCCAGGACTAAACGACGCTTCCTGAAGATGTGCGTATGACATGTACAATGCACAACCAATACAAAGTATTATTTTTCACAATACGAATGTTTGTTTTTTGCATCAGTCTGAACAACGCTCATCCCGATGGGATCCCACAGCGCTGACCCGCTGGGAACATGTCGATTTGCGGCAGTCTGATTTTGCATTGCTGAATAAATTAACCTTCGCCACACTGGCTGTGTACGACAGAGACTGACGACCGGAGGCAAAATGTACTGACAATATGTTTTCGGTTTTTTACCGGCCATATGGATAAAAAACCGGACGGTTGTAATTAACTGCTTTGTATGCCAATTAAGTTTAACTTGGTCATTTGGCAGTGGTCGTTTGGCTTTGCATGACTCTCGACTCATGACTCTACTCTCTTTGCATGACTCTCGGCTTCACACACATTTGTCCAGTTTAACTGCCACATTTCGACAAGCAGATGCTGCGCGCGTAAGCGATTTCCGGCCGATGTGAACAAATCTCATGGCCGTAGAATGACATGGAGATTACAAGAAAGTATTTCTGAGTTCGCGCAAGGAAAAGGTTTGATGATGTACCTCTACAAACTGGCACCGTGTACCAAGCCATTTCCCGTGTCACTGTGTACGTCGAAGAAGGTTTTTAAAAAACATTCTCTGAATTTTTCCTTAGAAATTTTGTTTTTTCAGTTGATAAGTAGAATCGGTCAAAACTCTGAAACAATACCAGACCAATGAATATAGGATCTGGTAGCATTGCATCGATTGGAGAAAACGGAACACAATGCAATACTGCACAGTGCAAACGGCACACTTGTCAAGTCGGGTTACATTAATGGTTTAAACGTTTCCCGCTATGGCGCTATCCCTACAGAAGCAACAGTATTACTCACTTGTCAGTATCAGCACTCAGCATTAAAATTCATCACATTAATAAAATACAAAACTTATCACGAAACATAAGTTCGACTTATGGATCATCAACGAACGCGAGAGTAATCGCGAATGATGCACAAAAAAACAGCCAATAATGCGATAACGGAGCAACCGTAACGGCTGCGATATTTGAGCGCCCAAACTTACGGTAAATTATACGTATCATACGGTACGGAGAACACTGTACACGGAATGCGAAAATTAGAAAATTTTTACTAAGTACTTAATTAATTTGTATGGAAGTGAAGAACGAAGGTGAACAACTTTTTTCAAATACGCGATATCACAGTAGCTAAAAAATCTACATGACATATTTGTGTAAATTAGCATTAATTAATTTGTTTAAATAAATTGATTTCAAAATGAATTATTGTCGTAATAAGAAGTCGCTCCACTAATGCTTTAATTAGTTAATGAAGATTCGCCATAATGGCAGAATATATTTTTAAAAACAGCTCAGATATCTATAGATGAAACTGCATAGTGCATACGCCACATGAAACTGCTGCAGACTGCATGGATAAGTCGACGATGCAGAATCGTAAATCTAGTCAACACAAGATTTACGATAAGGCAATTATGCAACGTTGACTCAAAGTGGGCATGTGTTGACGGTTGCGTTCATCCAATCCATAAGCGCAAACTATCTCACAATGACTCACATAGATACTCACAAATGCCGAACGGTTCAGCATGACGGTAAATATGTATTTTGAATTGTTAAAATTTCATTATCTTATCAGTTCGCGCAATCAGTATCACCGGCGCGGTATACAGCTCAACGATCGCAAATACTCCCTGCCGCTAAAAGTGTGCAAAACGAAGTTTAAAACGAGTAAATTCTAAACTGTACGAAGCCGTGCTAATATTAGTGTAGTTCGTCCTTTGAACCATGTGCCTAGTTGTTCTTAATTCTGGTAACAACAGTACTCGCTTTAGAAGGCTTCGGACACTAGAAAATTGTCATTCCATACATTATGCGTAGTTTCAAATCCCCAGTCACGTGAGCAGTTAAACGCGATTTAGTGGACGCCGACTCAGCGAAAATTGCACCGGGTTAATCGGGAATCAGTTGATATAATCCGGTAATTACTGAAATGGAAAGCATAAGCTTCCGTAATTCCGGTGCTGTCGAAGAAATTGGCAGCAGTATACAGTACACTAAGGGTGAATTTATTGGGAGGGGAGCGTTTGGAATAGTTTACAAAGCCAAAGTCAGAAAAGCACTTTTACGATTTCGCACTCCGTCCGAGCCGGATTTCGTAGCCGTCAAAGTGATGCATGTCGCAATTAATTCTGGAATTGCTGCCGATCAGGAAAACTGGATGACCGTTGTGCAGAGAATAAGACAACTTCCAGGACTGAAGCACAAACATATCGTACGCTATCACAAGGTTTCCATCTCGAAATCTTCCGGCGGAGTGACAGTGGAGCTGGCAATGGATTATCATAAAGGTGACAAGCAGCTTTTGTCGAAGACACTGCTCTTATAATATTTGTTCTCTATTTTTATGCTTATTTTGTCTATATTTTATTATCATAGGTGATCTTGCGTCGTTTTTAAGGGAAGCTAAGGAAAACACGACGCTTTTAAACAACTGGAGAAAAGTGATTCGATTCGCAGATGACTTGGCCCAAGGACTTGAATTTCTCCATCAAAACGGTATCATTCACGGCGATTTAAAGCCTGAAAATATACTTCTGAGCGTCTCGCAGAATGGCAGCGAGAAACTGGTGATTGGCGATTTAGACGATCTAGTGCAAATGAAAGAAAGCGCCACCTGCTCTGCAGACATTTCTCAGTTACGAGGCACAATGCGCTATATGTCACCGGAAATGCTGAGGAAGTTCTCCCAACAAGAAGCGGAGCGACCAGGACGAAAAACCGATATGTGGAGTCTGGGATGCATCATTCTGGAGATGGCCGAAAACTATGCACGTGTACCCAAGAAACAGCTCGTAAAGGATGGGAATATCGTCGATGCGGGAAGCGCTCTTGCAAACTATGCACGCTTGATAATCGACGGTTACGCTCCATTTGTGAGCAACGACATTCAAGACGATTTAGCGTGCATTATTCGACAGTGTTTGGATACAAGTAGCGCAAACCGATTATCCGCCAGAGAATTACTGCAGAAGCTACCGAAAGACCTCATAGTATTTATTGGGCTCAGGGATTCTAACGATCCCAGCGTCATGAGATTCGATCCGTGGACTAACTCTGTTAATGTTCAAGAGGTGCGGGGCGCACCAAAATTTAAGGGGGATCTGTGTCGCGGGTTAGCGGTAACAGGTAACAAAATTGTAATTACGGAACAGATACGTCATGGTCACGTCTACAAGGTGAAATTCCATTTGTGGAATGTCGACGATGGAACATGGGGTCAACACGAGCCAGTTCCCTCTTTGGAGGTAGACTCGTTTATAATGGTGACAGCGGTAGAGGACAAGGCTTATTTTTTTGACGATACCGGAATCTTTACAGAAGCGAACATTTCTACAGGCGAAATTGCACGTTCAACTCAACCAAATCAACGGTATGGCCTTTTGTTGAGGCAGCATGCATTGCAGTCTTGGTATCAAACGATTCTAGCTTTTTATATTTTACAGCCCTTTCCACTCACCAGAAGCAGTAGCCAAATACCGTGAGCAGATATTTTATGCTACTTGGAGCCGCCTTTTCCAGTATGACACGGTGATCAAGGAATGGAAGTACTTACCAGATCGGCAACAACCGCGCCGAGATTTTGCAATGGCCGTGGTCAGCGGACACATATACATTTTGGGCGGAGAGCTTTTAGACGACGCAAAGCTTTACTGCAACAGCTTTACTGCCCGTCACTTTACTGCAACAGCTGACTGTATTCGTTTGAGACTGGGCAGTACAACGTGGGAAAAGATTGCACCACTTCATCAGCCCAGATTCTGGCATACTGCTTGCGTTGTCAAGGATCGAATATACATCTGCGGCGGTGCCGATTCATCTTATAACGAGGCGGTTACGATAGAGGTTTACGATACCAGAGCCGACGCAGGATGGTCGACTGTCAATTTGTTTCCGAAGGACAACGAAAAGTTTGCAGCCTGGCTGGCTGCATACAGTCATCCGTTGTATTACTTTGCAACCTCCGTCAGACAGCATATTGACAACTTTCCAGATATAACCGCTTAAACGGCGTTCAGCATCATGCGTCCTTGTGCATCGAATTGCATAATTAAAGCTTACGAAACAAAGTATCAACTGATAAAAAAGAAAAATTCTCTTGGTTACTCTAGTTGGAGTGCCACACGTTTACAAAAAAGAACGCAAACCGCAACCAATTTAACCCGGAGTAAACTTCGTCCAGTCTTTTAATCGGTGTTATCGCATTGGTTGCTGTTTGATTACTGATGCTTACCAAACGGAACCGGGATGCAGTAGCATGCGCTTCCTCGCTCTCGATCCGTCGTTTTCGCAGTGGAAGTAATTTGAACTGCCGTCTCCGTGCTTTCAATTGCACGTTGCTCGCCGGTTGCCCGTTCGTCATCAGCGCACTCTTTCCTATACTAGTAATAAAATAACGATTACGTTTCCGTCAGAGTTAGCAGCACTAGCCATCTTCCAGACAGAAACGTTTAGCATTCAAAAATTAGTTCTTTTATCCAGAAAAGTTATGCTACGGTAGTTATCAACCATGTTTACAAGCTCACAGCCATAGCGCACAAGTCGCGGACATCAGTCCAAATCGGAGCCGGCATACATCGCGAGGGCCCTGGCCGGGACCGTTCTGCAGCTACACACCGGCTGACCCCGGCGGTCCTTCCTGCATTTGCCGGTGTTGAAGCAGTAAATGTCGCACATGTCTTGTACACGCGATGTTTTTGAATTTCAGTTATATGCCACAAAATTGTACGATTAACATGCTTCGCGGCAAAAGTTATTGTTACAGCTTTCTTATTCTTCCCGGAATTATAACCATTAACAACAACTATATTTGTGATCAAAATAACAGATCTTTCCTAATATTTTTTTTGTTATTTCCTTTTCAATTTTTATTGATCGGCTTTGTGTTGGCAGTTCGATTCAGTTTTATATAACGAATTTATTCTGCAGTTCGATTTTGGGATAGAAATTCCTGTCCTAGAGCTTCGTCAGCTATTCCGAAAATTATTCATACTTATAGTAATACTTCTAATAGCAATAATAATAAGGAAATCACTATAGGCACCCCCTTACACCCTCGTTTTATATAGGCACCCCTTCTCGCACCCAGTAATTTATAGACACCCTTTTCTGTTAATTAAATAGAAACACCATGTCAGTGCATTTGTATACACCCTTTAATAGCATATTTCGGATACAGAATTCGAAAATGATTTCATGTACGTGCGTCAGTCTCATACAGATACTCGCATACAGACAGAATCAGGCTTTCCATCCGATGATCGGGCGGTGAGGCTGATCTGCTAACTTAGATTTAATTAGAATGGCATCGTCGGCGGTAATTTTGATTTTTCGTTTCGCAATCGTAATTTCGGATGCCGGTTCTTATCGGACACCGGGTGGCCTCCTCTTTGTCCAGCGCTTCTGCTAACCATTTTCGGTGCGGTTCGGCTTTTGTAAAAACCGTAGTTACCGTACCCTTCTGGTGTCAGGCCCGCGATGATTTCGGCCATGAAAGCACAAACCAACGGGCCACACTGTTTCGACCCAGCATTCTGAAGCTGAACAAGAGGGAACATCACATCGACATCGGTGAACTCGCCTCCATATAACATGGCCAGCTGCAACAGTACATGCGGCGATAGATCGCTGTTTAAACTGTTGTAAACTCGTACGACTTCTTCCGACGCAACTTTCGGGGACAACACAAAATGATGTAACCCGTACACAAAAAAATCTCTCAACCCGGGAGGGGGGTGCGCGCGCCCTCGCTACGGCCCTGCCCGTACAGAGCTTGCAATCCATCCCCACAGCCATGTTAGCGCGTATTCGTGTCACTTCCGCTGCGTCCGGATTACAGATTGCTATATCTCCAGGATCAACAAGTCCTGTGAACTTTTTCCCGCATTTACGTCTCCATACTTTTGCGATCATAGTTACCGCGTCTAGGTTCTTACACTACAATTACAGTATAATATGCTAAAGTTTCATAGGGGTGCCTTTAAAAAACAGGGTGCACGAAAGAATCAATTAATAAGATAGGGGTGCCTCTAATTAACGGGGTGCGGAAAGGGGTGCCTATAGTAAACGGGGGTTTTTGGGGTGCCTATAGTGTCACCCTAATAATAATAGAAATAGTTAGTATAGTATCAATAGTTATAAAAGTAGATTATATTGTAATTATTACAGGCTGTACTAGCTGGCAAATGATAACTGTAGTTATGTACCAGATTTAATAATGCGCCTGGGGTAATCATTAAACTCAGGAAGCACAATAATGAATTAGATTATTTTATTCTGAATTGCTGGACGTTTTCATCAAATCATGGCGTCTACGTGTGCCAGCCGGGCTGGACGGGCGCCGACTGCAGCGCGATAGTGGACAACTGCATGCAAGGAGAAATCTCTGCCTGAACGAAGGCCGGAAGTGCCGTTTAAATATTTCGTATCGCCCATTAACCCTCGTCATCTTTGTACCAGCGATTACGGTTTATTTGTTTATTCTTGTTATCAGGCGCACCGACTCGCATGAATTCTCCGTAACCTGGTTATCTTTATTTGTAAAAAGCATACAGCTTGTACATCAAAAAACTACAATCCATACCAGAAGAAAATCAGCGCTCAGTTTTTGGTGTCAGGAGGCTTGATGTGGTTCTCAGAGTGCCACCCAGCCACTGGACAACGACCCTCAATTTGCTAAACCTGTTCATACTCGCAAAACACGGCGAAAATAGACTCGTATTCACTATAACGTGATTCGGTCAATTTATCTTGAACATTCTTCTATTTTTCCAATACTGGTATCTTTCATATAAACTGAATATGAAATGGTGCCGTTGAGAGAAAACAAAATAACGGAAGCCGTCGTTGCATTTCTAGTGTTACGATCCCGGTGTGTTGATGCAGATTTGTTCGCATCCGGCGCACTCGTTGACGCCGAAGCAGCGCTTTTCCAGATGCCAGTCAGATCCATCCGCATGCACGGCGCGCCGTAGGAGTCCGCCAAGGCGATGCGCACGAGACAGGCTTGCATCGACGCAAATAGATGCGTGTCGTTCGTCGACTTCAAGAACACGCACGTGTAATGCATAAGGTCACTTGATCGTGACTACTCAAAAAGCCGTTGTAAAACTTTCTTCAATGTTTTACCTAATAAAATAGCCCAATCAGCGCTTACCGGCAACTACAAACCCAGGACACAACGGAAATAAATACATAATATAAAAGAAAATGTAAATATCCCGTGGTAAATGTTATTGCAAACTTGAAAAGGAATTGCATCAAGGCAACGCATAATAGTATTATCTGCAGCAATTTAACCGACTTTTTGTCGGTGCGGACTTTCGTGATCATTGTTGTATGGGAGTTCTTCTGCTGCTGAACGTATCTGAATGATCGGTAAATACTGGCAAAATGGGACGTTGATGGATATAAATTTTGCACCGTGCTTATTACGAACAACAGTCTGCAAGTAAAACCTTCATGGGCTATCCCTGTACACGATTTCCTATTTCTTCTTCCAGACATTGCAAATTTACGTCGTTACAAAGGCATTTAATAATTAGGCGGCACGTGTAGTGAAATGCCAGCTCGCATATGGGGGCTCTTTGTAATAAAATGCACAACAAAAATCTCGGACGTTTTCAGGGTTCGTGCAGCATTTTCAAAGTTTCCAGATTGCCTTAACAGAATCCTCAGATTTCCTGAGCCAAGTTCCTAACTGGGAATAAGATGGTATATCCAGATTAATAACATGGTTCTGACTTGCTCGTTCCGGGCAGTGATTTTGTACAGCAGACCGGAGACTGTTGACAGGGTTGTTTGTAAATACCGGTACGTTAGTTTTGTGACATTTTCCGTTATCGTGGCGCTGATGTGCAATCACGTTGGCATTAGCTATCGAACAGGTATTCTTCTACATGAACATATGGTTGTGACCTTGTGTCTCACGTGAAATTACGCCAGAGGTTTTTACAACGGATCATAGAATTTTCGCTGGCACTCTATCATTGCAACTGCCTGCGGAAAATTCTATGCCGACAGTGCCGGCGTATGCAGGAGTGAGAGGCTTTCTTCCGTACGTACGTTCGTGCACGCTTGTGGGTAAAGGTTGTTCTTTCAACAGGAATCCCCGAACTTATTGCATCTATTCGAGGTTGTGGAGCCAGCTGCGAAGAATCATTCCTTAAACTCATCTGGAGGACGTCTATTTGTACATTCGAAACGCCTTTTAGTGGTATCGTTTTCTTAAATTTCCATACATATAGTACACACTGGTACTAACACACAATCCGATACCCGTATGTGCGTACGCACGTACTATGTTGTTCACTATTGTTACAACACAATCATGCGAGTTTACAGTCCCGTTGGCATTAGTTACCGAATAGGTATTCTTTTTATATGAACATATGGTTGTGACCTTTTGCCTCTGTTATGCCCGTGACATAACAAGAATATCGTACTGTACTATGTGCAGTATGCGTCTATTCTGTGTATTTGCAGGAAGAAATCAATAATCTGATGAACATGAGTTTATTCCGTAAGGGTTAATGGTTAATACGCCGGCTGCGCCGAGCGTTTTTATACCGTGCTTCGCGTATTGCCACGGTCGTAGACATGTATGGAAAAACATGCAACTAAATAGAGAGAGAGAGAGAGAAACAAAATAAAGACTAAGTAGAGAGAAATGATAGGAAACAGGGATGCGTTATATTTAGCGTTGAACAGAAATGCTGGTGGTGCTCACCAGTGCTCTCCCTCAGTTATGTGCCGTCTCTTGCGCACATTCATTCCAAGTGAGAAAAGGAACAGTGTCGGGTGCAGATTTGCGAAAGTTGAGGAGATGCTGTGGCAGGCAATGAAATTTTCGATTGGAAACTTAAGGATAAAATTAAGAAGAATTTCCAGGAATACTTATATAGTATTCACACTTTGCAACAAAGGTAAGAGAGTTATTTAATTAAAACGAAAATTATAGATAAAATAAATCGTTATTTATTGCAGGCTTTTTAGGCTTTATTAACGAA